TCTTAGCCCAAGTGTCCCCTGGACGGCATCGGAAGCTCGAAGGCTCATTGTCATACTCAGGGCCCGGCCTTCGTCAGAACGTCCTTAGGTCAAACGAGCTTGCCGAAGTCGTGAAAGTGAATGGCAGGATGCATATGGATGCATCATATGGGAAAGTCACTGGCCGCAAATTCAATGTCTTCAAAGCCACTGGGCTTCGAAGTTAGGATGCATCTCAAATGAAGTGGCCAGCCTGAAACCCGAATTCCCCGCCCCCCCCCCCCCCCCCCCAACCCCACCCCCCCAAAAAACAACGGCTTTCGCTAGGGCAGCAGCCGATGCCTCCTGCAGCTCCTTGCAACGTTGGATTTTGCGGGAACTCAGTCTCGTCGGGAATGGGTCTTACTTTGCGTGGAAGGCTTTCGCAATCGCAACCCTCGGTAGTTGCAGTAAGCAGACGTGGGTCACCTCGCAGCCCTTCTAAGTGGCCACAAGTTCGGCACTAGTGGCTTGGGTGTTAGAGCTTTCGGACTGAAGGTTTTGAGATAAGCAGTTAGAGTTTTGGCAGCCTCGGCAACAGCGCAACAGCTCGGAACTTGATTGGAACCCTTTCTTGCTTGGGAGTCTCTGGGTCGAGCGTTCGGCCACGCACATGACACTCGCTGATCATCAGACCCGTCAGCTTTACGGCTTTGTGTCGATACCCGAGCTCAAGGCACTCCTCGAATCTGGTCGGTCTTATCATGTCATGTCTGTCCTCCTCACTATGAGCGAAGCGGCAGGCTGGACCCACAACGCAGCGGCCTGGCAAGCGGCGTGAAAACTTTTCTCCTGGTTCCACAAATGGGCATCCCTTGGCATTTCTTGGCACTTGGCGCGGAGACAACTGCGCGCCTACCAGAAAGAAGCTGCACATCTTGCTCTTCAGCAGGTGCGGCCTATGTCTGCATCAGGGAAGAGGGATCTATCAGACCATTGCAGTCTAACAGCATGATTGGCACAATGCTTTGATGTTGAGGGATATGAGAGTCCTGCTTGGACTTTGCCGGTGCAGGACGATTGATTTGCATAGCTTCCGGCGATGTTTGACTAAGCCCCTCTCGGACGCAGATGCGGTCTTACTTACGGCGTTCCTTACAACCCAACATGTCCCAAGCACATTGGTCTCGAACCCTGGCCATCCTTCAAAGTGCCACCCAGGGAATCTCAAGCCAAAATCCCACAGGTCGCTGCCAGGCCGCTGTACTCTGAGTTCCTCTACAGAGTGCGCATAGCGGCAATCTTTCACGGCACATGCCCCGGTGTGCAGGAAAACCTCAGGTTGGGGCACATGTTTACTAATGAATCTCAGCTGAGGGACATCCGGGGACACAGGGTCGAACAACGAGACCCAGAGCTGCTTCCCAAAAAGTTGACAGTTCGGCCAAGACTTGAAGTGCAACCAAAAATAAGCTGAACCTGGCGAGTCTGGTATGGGAAGGTAAGCGTGTGAAAAGGCTGTCAGCCTGAAATATTCAATGCAGCCTGCAGGTCCCTGTACACTCGTCACGTGCTTGCGTGTGCCTGTCATGAACTACAAACCAAAGGCTGTGCAATTTTACTCGCCCCAAAGTAAAACCATGCATGGAGCTGGAGCACGCTGTGACACGATGCTCAGCTCCGAACGGGGCACACAGAGGTGCGCTCAAAGTCCGGGGAGGGTCGCAGATCATCCTCTGTCACTGTTCAATGCTTGCAGGTTTCCACATGTCCTTCATAGATACTCAGCGAAACTTGCAAAGTTGGATGAAATCTGTCGTCTGTCCAAACCCATCATGAGACACGCAAGGGCCTCACCATGCGCGAAGGAACAGGTAGCTCCTTTTCGGCATTTTCCGACCTGCGCGGGCATGGGTTGTCTGAAGACAACTCATCCAAAAAGCAAATGTCAACTGCTCTGTCAAATTCAAGCAATACTCGGAATGCACAGTCAGTACAACCCGCCTGCCAAAACTCACAAATGCGAGTTTTCCACAATGGCGAGACCTGGTCTTCTCAGAAACCAATTCTCTTATCTTGAAGTTCCATCAGTTGGCTGGGTCTGGGATTTGATTTCGACATGGCACAGGGCAGATGCTCTCTCTGTGGATTCGGCCCGCACAGCTTGAAAAGTTATGGGCTGCATCAAGATAAGATTGCTTCGACCGTTCACTTCTAAGCAAAGTTCACATAGGTTCCTCCCTGGGCTGGTCCAACCTTTGCTGGTCCTGCACTCGGAGAATTGAATACTTGGCCTCTCCTAGTCATACATGAAAAATGAATCCAGACACTGGAGCCGAAGCCATAACTTGGCGTGCTTGTCATCAACTGAAGCCTTTCTTGAAAGTCCCACAGATGCCAGGGCCCGTTAAGACCTTGCATGCTCCAGCCTTCGGTGTTGCGCCAGCCTTGGGCTTGGCCCTTGCCTCATCATGCATCTCAAGCCAAAGGGAGAGAAGCAGAGGCTCTGACTGGTGGGTTTAACGGGTGACACATGCAGAAGCAGCTCGATGTGCATGGCTGATGACACACAAGTGGCTGGCAGCCTGTGTATACAACCCATAGGCGCAAAACACAAAGATCCCAGCACTCATCACTTGCAGGCTCAACCGGCAGGCCTTCCGCCGCGCAGCTAAATGTCTGCCTGGACGAAAGCCCATGGGCTTCAAATGGCTTCATGTAGGAACCAAGTGACTTTACTACGCCTGAAAGGGCCTCAATCTTCCACTTTCCGGGTGCATTGAGCAACATGTTGCTTGTCGGCCGGGTGGTTATGATATGTTATGATCAACACCGAAACCACATCGAGATGAAGGAGGACATGGCAAATTCACAACAGGGAACCTGTGCCGAAGTCCGGCCGCAGAGGTGGAGGCTCTGCCATGCACCTGGTGGAAAAAGTCTCTTCGAGGACTTGGCGTGAATAAGCTGGATCTGCGAATCTGCGTTTGGGATATGGACGGCTTGCGATTGAACATTATGGGGACTGAGCTTTTGAGGAAGCTTATGGCGTTGAAGGTGCGCAATCAGTTCAAGGGTGCTGCGAGGCTCCTTTCGCGCTTTGTAACTTCCACCCTGCGGACGGCTCTCTTTTCAGCAGAACAGCCCGAGTTTCGCAAGCTGTGTGAACAAGTTGTTTAGAGTTACCAGGCCGTTAGTGAAGTATTCTGGCAAGGTTTGGGAAGGAGGCTTGAGAGGCAGGTAGGTGTAGGTGTTGGTGTAGGTGTAGGTGTAGTTGTAGTTGTAGTTGTAGGTGTAGGTGTAGGTGCAGCTGCAGGTGCAGGTATAGGTGTAGGTGCGATGCAAGTAACTGTGGTTGTGCCGGCGTGTATGCGCGCGCGCGTGTGTGTGTGCGTGTGCGTACAATGTGCGTCCGTGCGCGCGCGTGTGCGTTCGAGCTTGTGCGTGTGCGTGCGCGTGTGTGCATGTTTGCACGTGTGCGTGTTCGAGAGCGCGCGCGTGTGCGTGCGCGCATGCTTCCCACAAAGCCAGAGCAAACTGGAAATCCGCACTTCACGATCCGTAGCCTCAAGCCTGCTGGTAGAAAGCCGAAATAAATACCTGCAGCCCAGTGTCCATCCAACGGAGAAGGGGCCGCACTTGCGGACAGCGGTGGCTCTTTCGAGCCACTCAATGTCAACCAGCGTCAAGTGCGTCAAGAACTTATGGCTGTGCCAGGTTTGGTCATGGGATCGCGGAATGGGCCACCGTCGGGGGCTGAGGCCACGCATTTCGCGGTCGAGACACGAGCAGCAGGAACAAACCACCACACTGAACTACAGATTCAAAGATGGTTTCACTGTACTGAGCCGGGCCCTCGTGCAATCCCCTGCCGGCGCTTCTTGCTGCAAAAGGCAAAGGCAAAAGGCAATACACGAAAGGCGAAAGGCGAAAGGCGAAAAGGCAAAACAAACAAAAAGCAAAGGCAATTGCTAGCTATGCATATATGCATATTCATCAATGAGCTGCCAAGACATGTCGCTCGCGACCTGGCCACTCTGTAAGTAGCGAGTGGCACCAGCAAGCATACACCGTGAAAGGACCCACAGGCCACCGGTTTGGGGCCGGTGGGGCTACCTACACCTGAAGGTTCGGGTACCCCAGCGTCTCGGATTCTGGAGCCCGGAGAGGGTAGCTCTTCCTTGGGGGTACTCCCCGGTCTCGTCTGTGTGTCCAGAACACTTCCATGACCTTGAACTGGTCCGGGGGGGCCTCCTGCAGCGGGTTTGCCAATCGGTTGAAGATGTGCTTCCAAGGCCAAGTGTCGACCTCCGCCAGCTCGATGTCGCTGCTGAGATCTTTCTCTCTGCATCGGGGAGCTCCATGTGCGCCAAGCTTCGTATACATGCTGCTGATGAAAATTTCAAAAGAAGTCAACTCGGCTAACTAGCTATTCGGAGTTAAAAACATCTAGCTAGCTAAGCAATTTAAAGCCCGGGCATTTCAAGCGCGACGTTTCAGGCCTTGGGGAGGCCTTTGGTCCACCAAACACGCGGCCCAACCGACAGAACGCGTAAATAAACAAGTAAATGGGAAGAAGATTTTGGTCATTTTGAATTTTAAAAAAACCCACATCACCATGTGGGTATCTTTCTTTTGTGTGGCTGCCGTGCCCGCCGCGCCCACCATGCCGCCACCACGACACACGCCCGCGCTGACTCAATCCACCGCTCACACGTCACATCGACTTCGAGCAAACATCTCAAAAATGGGTCCGGAAAGGTCGCTGTGGCCATGTTTGGGGGCCTCTGTCGGTTGAGAGGTTTACTTCAACCTTTTCAGGCTGAGACCTCAGAGGCTTTCCTGAAGAAGTGCGAGGGCGTTGTTTCACATTGTAGTCGCCCGCAAGTTTCTAGTATGGCGTCCTTTTTTGTCAGCACTGTACATGCCTGGACTGTACAAGCTGGGAGTTGACCGCAACTCGCGTTATCCCAGTGTCTGACGTTGCACTTAGGCAGGCCAATCCTGCTATTGAACTAATGTGAACAATTCTTGGCATGCTCTTACGCCTGAACGGCGGCCAGGACGTCTGCATCAACGCAGGCGCCTTTAGAATCCACGGCGGCCACGACGTCTGCATCGACTCGGATGCTGTCTTTTGCGTATTGCAAAAGGTCGTCGTCTGGATAGCGGGAGATCATCTCAAGCACAGCAGGCTTGCTGGCATACCTGCCCGTGCCGCACCGCATCCCGCATGCCCACCGCGACCATAAGGGGAGGAGAGTTGAACAGCAAGCGTTACAAGTGCATGCCGAGACACCTCAGGCTGGACTTGTCGGCGTCAAAGGCAGCAGACACCACTTCAGCATCGGCGAGGTACTCGGACCTATCATCTGAACATGCCAACATGCCTCTCCGGCCAGCATGCCGAGAAGTTGAGGGTAGATGCATGGAGACAAGATGAAAGCCAAACATGGAAACAAATCCCGCCTGGCAAACTTGAGGGCTTCCGGATATTCTCGGACGGCATCGCACACCAGGTCCTTTTTGCTCGAGTCGGCCACCGAATCCCCTCTAGAACTTGGCAGATCTTATCAGACCCTGTCTGTTGGAACCCATTCCTTGTCGACGACGTGCTTCAGGGCATGGATGTTCTGCCCAACAGCTGCAAGGACGACCTCACGTCTGCCAAACAAACATACTGCATGGCTTAAACATTTGCACAACAGCCTTTCGGGCTTCTGCAAACCGACTTCAACCTAGAAAGGGGAGGGGTGCCGATTGCAACTGCTCACGCAATGTGCTGTTAAAACCTCGTATGGAATGTTGGGCCTTTCGCCTTCTACCAGAAACTTGATCAATGGTCCTAACCCAGTTTTTGCTATTGGATGGCAAGGCTACCTCGGTTCGCAGCAAGCGGACATAACATTCAGGCCGACACTGTGAGGTTTGTCGCGAACTCTTTTTTGGCAAAGCGGAGGGCATGGCCATTCCTTTCCGCAACACACCACGCCTACATGCACGTAAACATGCTGAGTCTTGTCACACACTGGTAATCGTGCGCAGGTGCGTCGACATGCAAAGTTCCCAACATGGCGCATCTTGCAAAAAAGTTAGAGGCCACACTTGATGCAGACGAAACACGATCAGGCTTGGGACAGATGCCTGTTTCCCGCACAGTAGGAAGTTTCAAGATCAAAAATGTTGCAAGGGATGAGAAAAAAGGACATCCAGATGACGACAAAGTGAGCAGGCACCCAAAAAAGGCGAACGCGGAACATTGATGTACATGCCGGCATTGAACAAATTGCAACGAAGCGAACGAACCTCTCCAGGCCGAGAGCCAGTACACTAGCTATCCCCAATTCATCCCACCACCTCCCACTTCACCACCCGGGGTAATATGGCGGAAGAATAGCTCCGTGCAACTTTCTTTGCACGCTCCCACCAGCTAGCAGCTAGCACGAACTGGAATCTGGGTTGGGTGGGCGCTCTGAAACTTTGCCCCCCCAAAGGGGCACTGGCCCAAATGCAACGTGAGGACATGTTCTTGCAGCACTAGGCGCCCAAAGCATATGCCTACCCACTACCCACCCAGTTCAGATTGCCACACAAATGATTCGAAAATTCAAGGCTCAGAACTTAGGTCATTGGGATGATTTCGTCCAGTGTGCCACAAGTGCGACATTCGAGGCACACACAACTTTTGCGATCGAAACTGATATCGCAGCAAGTGGACGGTGTTTTCGTTGGCACCGGGGCCTGCGTCACACACCCACACACACACTATTGCAGCCAAAATGGCTCGAACATCTTTCGCACACAAGTCTAAAGACAGCATCATGTTCTTCATCTGTCTAAGCCACATCGGGCAAGTAATGGTCATCAGACGCGTTTCGCAACAGGTTTCTTTTTTGGGGGGGTGTTGTGTCGATAACAGCTTCATCTGATCTTCGATCGACATGCTTCAACGACAATCCCAGCTGCACGTGGCTGTGCCCAAGGACTTGTCAAGGGATTTCGGCGCCCGCGACGGGCTCATCAGTAGAGTGTCACCATGCCCTTTCTCCATATCCCCGCTATCATGTGGCGACGCTCACTTCAACACGCAACATCATGGTCAGGCACAACAATCATCCCACTGGCAATGCAAAGACTCACTCCTTTTGGAACAAAGGTTGTCACACACACACACACACACCCACAAACCCACCCACCCACCCACCCACAAACCCACCCACCCACCCACCCACCCACGCACGCACACGCACATACACAAAGTGGAGATGGCTTGGACAACAGACGGGCGTCTGGGCCACAGCAGTTTCCACGATGGAGAGGTCGGGTCTCTTGCAGAACTCCAGGGCCAAGCCGTTCCTTGGGGCACAATTGGGGTTTCAGGCGGTTTCAAATCTGAAGAACTTTTGCTTGGCAGGTTTGCTTGCACGATTTCAGGAACGTCTCTGCGGCCCAAGCCTCAGCAGATTCATAACGTTAAGGAAAAGACCCCTGGAAAAACACACACCATCGTGCGGAGCGTCTGCGCCACAGCGGCCAAGGCTAGCTCTTTGGTCTGCCGTTTGGCGTACTTCAACAAGAGACCTTGCCGCTCCTGAGCATGGCTTCTGAAACGTGAAACGGAGCTTTCCCAAACTTCTCTTCACCGGAGTTCAGATGTAGGTCAACTGGCATTGGTGTTGTTCAAATTTCGCCGGTGTTTGTTCACATGCGGGTCAATCGGTGCCGGTGTTGTTCGATTCAAAGCCTAGGGCCTAGGATAAAGTCAGCCAAGACTCGATGTACTGCATGAGAAACTTTGGATCTGCGCAGGCAGCTATGCAACCCAACCCTGGCAAAGCCTACCTCTACTTGATCGCATCAGCAGAGAGGAAAAAAGAAAGAGAGAGAGAGAGAGACACACACACACACACAGAGACAGAGACAGAGAGAGAGAGACAGAGACCGAGATAGAGAGAGAGAGAGAGAGAGACCGAGATAGAGAGTGAGCCACAGAGAGGGAGCGAGAAAGAGACGCAGAGAGACAGAGAGAGAGAGAGAGAGATTCAGAGAGAGACGCAGAAAAAGAGAGACACAGAGACACAGAAAAAGAGAGACAGAGAGAAGGAGAGAACGAAAGAGAAAGGATGAGAGAGAGAGTGATTCTCCGCGATTGGAACAACAACTTCTGACACAAAACTACACATACATGCCCAATGCCCACATAAGTGCGACGTTGACTGCCCTGCACGACGGGCCGGGCTTGCTATACTAGTTCACAGCTGTTGGAACCCCACCACGTCGCCTTTGCGACCTAGTTTACGCCTCTGTTTGGGGAGAAACTTGGCAAACAGAAGCCGGTCTGGAATCCTTACATGGGAACCGAGTGCTGCAAAACAAGACTTGGCAGAGCAAAAACTTGTCAAGATCCTTAATTACGCAAGTCACAAGGGCTGTTCGCTCTTCACAAACAACGAGAAAAGTTACGTAGAGAAAGCGGAGGCGCATGGAGGACATTGGAGGACCACCGGAGGACCTATCTTGGCCACCCCGCCGTTCAGAAAATCCGTATGGACGTAGCGCAGCATCTCGCAGTCTGCTTCCAGAACCTGCAAGAGAGAGAGCCCTCGTAACTACAACTGCCTCACTTGACGGTATGGGATGTGCAACATTTGGGGGCCAAGTACCGCTGCCCCTTCCAGAAACAAAGCGTTAAGAGCACCGCAAAGTTCCAGCGTGGTGTTCGTGCTTGGAGACTTACATTTTTGCTTTGGGGTTTGGGCATTGGTGGTTCTGTGTTCGTTCCCACAGAGCTCTTTGTACGGCACGGCAGGGTTTGAGGTACGTCGACTTGGGTGGCCATGTTGCGCCGAGCATGACAGTTCTTAGGCACAAGAAAAGAGAGGCAAAGCTCCCCATGTGCTAACTGCCAAGCCTTCCGGACCAGGTCTTTGGCTTTCCGCGTGACCTCTCGCAATGCAAGGATCGGTTGCTTTGCTGGCAACACAACTGATGCCTGACCCCTAGCCCTTATCCTTACTACATAGCAGTATGAAGTTGAGCCCGACTAGCGGGGAACTACCCAACTGCAAAGGGCCGAGGTGCACAACAAATCAACCCCTTTTGCTTCACCAGCCAGAGCCAGGCAACAGGTTACCCACACCTCAGAAACGCCAGTCGGTCTGGCATGTCGGTTTTGCGAGACTGCGGAACCTTTGACTTCCAATGCCTTCCCGGCATAGCCGAACGCCATGGCGTCGTTGGCTACGGCCCTCTCCACTATCTCCTCATCCTTGGCAGCAGCTCCATGTCGTCATGTACGTTCAATAGTCATGTAGACACCATCATTCGCAAGATAGAACGCAGCCAGTGTGGACCAAGGCGAGACTCGGGGCAGCAGGTACCGACCATCTGACAGTCACAGCATTACGCAGTCGGCTTGCCCCAGAATACTCGATTCAAATTGGGACAATCCTGCTGATGCAACAGGCTCTGCGAAGGGATTCCTCATGATTTTGGCTATGTCACATGGCAGCATGGATGTGCCAGGGTATGGTCGAGCAAAATCAAGTGAAGCTAGAGAATCAAATCATTGTGCCTCCTCCTGGCAACTCAGTTTCAGTTGCTCTGCAGGGCAAGGCTCACAAGCTGTTGCCCTGCATGCTCTGCAGGCAAATACCAGATCTCTATCCCGGAAACATCCCTGCTGACACAACCAGAGTCAAAGGAGCTCTTAAATTGCCAGCCCCACGAACCCTTTGATGTCGAAGCTCGTTCGTCAGCTCTCCACGAGCGTGGCGCAGGGCAGTGCCACGCTGAGTCACGGCGGCCAGCACCATATCCCGCTCTGATCGGAGGTCCTGCAGCTCAGAGTTTGGGGCATGACTCCACAGAGTCAGCATCTCCAAGACATGTCAAGATTCGGGACCTGCTCATGCATACTTGAGCGCGGACGAAAGAAAGCAGCCGGCACGCGAACGGAGTGTTTGGTTGACAGGCTTGGTCGACAAAACTTAACAAGAGGGGCGACGAGCTGTGCATTTCGAGAACCCGGACGTCAACAAAAAAGGGCACCAGTTTCGAGGATGGCGACATCCAAAAGCGACGCATTTGGCGAACCCCACATCCATGTACACGGTGCCCAGGCGGCACCGCGATTTCCAATATCGTGAACTCCCGTAGTCTGGACACACGCAGCAGACCCATCCAACGGCACAAGACGCAGGAAATTACGCGCCTGCCACGTGTTCAGGACGTGGAGCGATGCAAGCCTCGAAAAGTGCACGGGACCTATGCGGAGGGAACGATTTCCACCCGCAAACACAAGAAAATTCGCGCCTAGGCGAGAGCACGATTCCACCCATCGACAAAGCCAAAAGCATGTAACGCGATGTTTCAAGGCCCCCGGGAAATCCGTGCCGGCACGCCAAAGAGTGCGATTTTCGTCCAGAGACCTCCAAAATGCGACACCGTCCGCCGCACCGTGCGCGCAATCTTAGACCCTTTTACTCTTAACCTAAGAAGGCCTGTGTTGGCACAATTTGGGGAAAAAACCTTCCCAAAAAGGGCCATCGGAGGGTGGGGGGGGGGGGGGCCGCCCTGCAAAATCCCGATATATTTGTCCTCGGAAAGCCCTTTTTCCATTTTCCTCTGGGGCTGGCTTCATTTGTGAACCACAACGATGCTGAAGATCCGAACTCGCTTGCGGGATTTTGACACCTCCCGTCCTTCGTCGCGAAGGCGAGGGCATCCCCATCCGATTTCAACATTACCTGGGTCTTGAGCTCGAAGCACGACAACTGTGGGCAAATTCCCAGTCAGCACGCCCCATGGTCACTGTCAAGTTGTGTGTTTTTTTGGTCCCTTCGGTCCCGGTGACCACCAACCTAACACCTGAACAGCGGCTTGCAGAGTGTCACGGTCTGAAATTAGCTCCAACTTGCGGTGGTCCTCAGCGCCAACAAAGCGCAGATCATGACATCATAATCCGTAGTTGCAGGACTGTACGATCGCAGTGTCGCAAGCGCGTGGGATACATGTAGTGAGAGTCCACAACTTACTCGCAAGATTCCCAGATCTACGCCATGTGGAGAGGTGCGACCTGTATTCTATCCCTCAGCCCAAGAAGCATCGAGCAGGGCAAACAAAGTCCCAGACCTGGCACAGGCACCCAGCTGAGCTATCCAATGCTGCTGTGCGTCGACATGTACCAGGGACACCTCGGGCTCCGGATGTTGCTTCTCTTGTGAGTTCTTGTTACACCCCAGCGGTTGGACATACCGGGCAAAGCGCACGCGAAGAAGTGATCTGGTGTTGCTCCAAAGAGAACCGGCGCAAGATTCCGGTTCGGAGGCTCAAAGGCTCAGCTGAAACTCTGAGATCCGCACCTCAGCCTCCGGGCCCGAAAGGGCCTCGCCGAGTATCTGAGCCTCACCTCGTGTGATGCGGAACATTGGAGGAAGAATCGTCTCCACCAAGTCCTCTACCGGAGCCTATCAACATGTAGTTTGTGGCTTTCTTCTGTGCACGGCACGACCGATGTCGCTGGAAAGCATGTCTGGCCCCCCAATTAGTGCGCCTAAAGGCTGCTGGTCGTAGAGAAGGCGTTGGCGTCTGTAGTGCAAACCTCAGGCAGGCTTTAGTCAGAGTGCTGAAGCACATTCCCGGCTTCTGGTCTCATGACTTTGACACCAGGTCGGGCTTGGTCGTTTTCTAACATCCAGACTGCCAAAACTGCTGGAGGGTGGAAAGAACCAACACATGGTGTTAACCTTCGTTGTCTAGATCGCGATCCATACAATGGCTCAGTCGCCTCAGCCACCTGACTCCTAGCTCCTCTTGAAACTCGTCCAGGCCTATCTCCCGCTTGATCGCCATCATGAGGTCGAAAACGAGAGCACGTTTATCCTGGGCTCATTGCTGGCTCCTTTTAAAGGAAAGCTCTCTGCTTCCTCTCCGATTAGTCATGACAAAATACAAGAGGGACCACCTGATTGACGGTACAAGTAGGACTGACTGAGACCGCCGAAGCTGCTTTTCTTCTCGGACCGAAACATGTGAGAGCAAACAAGGAGCCATCTCCATCTCTGCAACAACGCGTGAAGAGAGCCCGCGCAAAACCCGGACCTCAAATCGAATGCTGGTCTTGAAGCTTGGAGCTTCGCAGTGCCTTCACACCCTGAGATCTCTCAATTGCATTGGGCACAATTCTATGTTCGTAAGGCCTTGATCCTGTCGTCCATGGCTCTGACAGCAAGGCCAAAGGCTTCCGGCTCTTTTTTGGTATGCGTTCAGGAATTGGTGAAGCTTCTGCTAGGCTCTAGTCGGCGTTTGCGAAACCTTTATAGTCTTTGGGACCTTGAAATATAAACCCGAGCCGCTCAGACCCTGTCTTGGGCCGCGTGGCTTTGGTGGCTTGGTGCATGCTAGGATGGCAAGTGCCTGTAAGTCCTGCAAATAGAGTGCTAGTTCTCTGGCCCGGCTTTGGTTGCTGCAGCACCATCCTTCCGACAAGACCTCGTGCTCTCCCTTCCCCTTCCTTGCCATCCCATCCCGAAAAACAATTACGAGAAGAACGCCTCATTCATTCTCTTCTTCATCCTACTCCTGAATGGCCTCGCAGGACCCTGGCCGCTCTGTCTCTCTGTCTTTTTCTCTCTCTCTCTCTCTCTCTCTCTCTATTTCTTTCTTTCTTCGTTAGGACATAGGAGCCAAAGCTCCCACGCGTGGCTCGGGGTCTGGACTCTGTGCAGCCATACGCACTACCATCGGACTTCTTCTCCTCCTTCTCGCTTCTCAGCGCCCCGCTCACAACTCGTAACCCCTCGCGACCTCTCCTCTTCCTTCCTTCATTCCTTCCAACCTCTCCTCTCTCTCTCTCTCTCGCTCTCCTCCTGCGCTCGTTTTTGTTCATCCCATTCTCTTCTCCGATGAACTCTCTGTCTGAGAAAAGTAGAGGAATCCACCCGTCTCGATTTGCTCCTCTTTTCGTGACTAAGAAGGCAGACAAGAAAAAGGACACGAGAGGGTTTCAACAACTCCCACCCACTGTTTTCCACAATCATTTCTGAGAACAACAAGGCAAGCGCGGACAAAAAATCAGAGAATGACTATGAAGGATGTAGGAGGCTGGCTGATGGAGAAGGAAGATACGAGAACTTCTTTCAAGTCAGCAAGCTGGATTGCATGAGGCAAATTGGGCGGGCGCTTTCTGAACTTTCTTTTGGCTTTAGCAATTTCTCTGAAGACTCTGGCTCAGAAAACCTCGTGCTGTCGAAGCACCTTATGTTTTGCAGTTTTGCGGATCCGGTGCCATCTAACCGCCTTCTGCTTCCCTAACAAAGGAACGTTTGGGGTTTCGCAGGCGGGTTTGGTAGGATGCGGAGCGAAGCTCGGGAGCTGGTATGGACAGCTCGACGGCGCGGGTGCTGGGGCCCAGGTTTGGATGCGTAGAGTGTGTGCTACCGTGATTTGCGATGAGGCGACAGATGCTCACTTGATATGTTGTCTGGTTTCAGGAGCTGTCTCTGACGTAGCACAGGTGTTTTGGGAAGGCCCGGACCTTCCTTCAGATCTGCAATTGAAATCTGCCTCTCGAAGCTGCCCAGCCCATGTCACTGGCATGCGGGCACGACAGCAATAGGCGTGCTTGAAGGCCATTGATACGATTCTAAGCTGTATCTCAGGGTTGTTTTACTTCAACCTAGGACCTAGGGCTGCGGGCCATGGGTTTGCGCGTGTGCAGAATCTAGGCTTGGCTGAAGACGTCTGAGAGCTTTTGAAGCATCTTCGATCTTTCAGCTTATGAACAAGAAGACCGCTTAACATCCAAACACCTCAGATTTCGACACCCCAGACTCGTCATGGACGCTATGAAGCCTTCCCGCTGGAGATTTTACAGCGCCAGGCATTTTGCGTTGGCGAAAGCAAGCTGCGTAGCTTTATGCACATTTCGCCCTTGTTCTGCTGCAGCTGTGTGTATGGGCATCTGGCGAGATGACCTGCAACAAGAGCAGCCGCAGCTCCAAAAGGTTGCACGGCTGGAACAGCGAAATCAAGAAACCGTAAAGCAACGAGTCAAAATCCTAAAACAGCAGAGGGCAAGTCAGCTAACAGGAAGGCACAAATCAGCATCCATGGAAGGCGTTCGTATGGCATCGCAGCACGGCATCGCATTTAACCTGTAACCTGTAACCTAGCAAGGTCTTCTCAACAGGGGGGGGGGGGGAGGTTGGGGAGCTTGCTAGGTTCGATTAAGTTAGGTTCGCCTAGGTTCAGTACCGCTTCCGTTGCGTTAGGCTTAGGGTGCGCACGCATGGAGTGAATACCGCAAAATGAACAGAAACGGGAGTGCAAATGCCGCTTGCCGAAACCTTCGAACTTGAACGTGTGTCGAACTCCAAACTCTCGACCGCACCGCGCCTGTGTCAGGACTTCCAACTCCAAACTTTCAATCTCTGAAATATTCAAATTCGGCTGCTTCAACACTTTCGAGCTTGAAAGGCTTCAAACGCTCAAACTCGCAACGTCGACACTCCGTCGAACTCCAAACTTAGAAGCGTGGATATTCGCTTCAAACTCGGAATCACGCATGTTTAGGGACTGAGTTTGGGAAAAGGCGCTCGAGCTTGATGGAACGTTTGTTAGCATGAACTGTGAAGAAGATGTGAGGAACTGAAACTTAGAGATTGAAAGCTGCTTACCTCTGCGTACTCCAGAACTTTGAAAACTCAAGCCCTAACTTCGAAGCACCTTGTTGTGACCCTTTTTCTGAAGGTTTTGGTTAGGTTTCGGGAGGGCGCGAGAGGGGCAGGGGCGGTTTCCAAACGAAACCCGGCCAAACTTGACAGGGCCTGAGCTCAAGGTGCTCCGGGCTTGCGGGCACGCCGCCGTTGCGATTTCCAGGGCGCCTCTCCGACCTCCCAAACGTCTCAAACGTCTCAAGGAGAAACCAGCAACAAAAACTGTGGCATTTTTCTCTGAGATTCTTCGGGCGCACACCAAAACATGCAATCATCAACTGCACGGGGTTTGCTTTTAAATCGTGACGGCTGGCATTGCCACCTCTTGTTGAGATGCTGCAAAGTTTCGACGATAATGACAAGCAAAATTGCGCCAGAGTGGACTCCAAACATGTAAGACCCAGGCCCCTCGCGCGCAGGAACATAACCCAAAAGCCATGAATTCTGGTGGGAACGCGGCTTCGATCATGGTATGCGCTATACTGCGCTATTTAAGCCGCTACGCTTCCTGGGCTGGTACTGATGCTCGTGAAAACGGTCCCCAAGGGCCATGACTTCTGCTGCTTTCGGGCTACCAGAGGAGGGTGCCACGAAAGTCCCGGGAAGCTCGGCCTCGCTCCGTTCGCCCTGCAGACTCGCGCCGAAGACCGGAGCCTTCGCATCGAGCCAAGATGCTTAAGGGCTCAGGCTTGATCCTTAAACCAACATTTCCGGAACTTTAACACAAGGGTGAAGGTGTGGTCGACAAGGAGGTGCGGCGAACACTGGGTTTCTGCGACCCTTTCATATCATTCAACTTCTGGAGGCTGCACTCCAAATGCTACAGATCTCGCAGGGCCACCTCGCTGGACAACGTCGCCTTGGATATGAGTCAGACAGGGGTCATGTAGCAGCCTGCCTAAACGCGGGGCCAACCGGAGCTATGTGAAGTCTAAGCTTGCCCCGCTTCACGCTGCAAACCTTCAAACTTTGGTCCAGACCTAGATGCGGGGTCGACGTGATGAGAGCTGTCCAGACCCAGGTCAGCAACAGGCCCGGAAAGCAGGGTATTCATCGGAGAGGGGCCAAGCGTCAGAAGGGCATTTTCGATGGCTGCACCCAAATCCGGCAACAAATCTGTTGGAAGCGAAGCTGTTCCTGATGAAGAAGTTGTATTCAGGTTGGGCGCAGGTGTGAGCAGGGGCATGATCGTGTTCAACGCAGGTGTGGCTGACGATGCTATACAAGGGCTCATCATGGCAGGTGATGGTATGGGCATCATCTGTTGGAGCAACAGCGGCGCCAAAGGATTCGCAGGACTCAGGTCAAAGCCATCAAGCTGAGTCAAGCTGGGAAATGAGGTGAAGGGACTTGGCGAGTTCAGACTATCGAGGTCGTCGGCAAGTGGTGGCAACGGGCCAAGTAGTCCAGTTGGGCCAGCTTGCGGCATGGCCTGTGGCGTCTGGTCTGACTCGGGAGGGATCATTGTCCTGAGCGCGCGGAGAGCAGAAGTCACGTCCTTGCTGGCTTTGGCAGACAAGTTAGGTACGGCCGGCGTCTTGCGAGAGCTCGCCTCCTCACCTTCACGTCCTTCACGTCCTTCACGACCTTCAGGCTGATCCAATCCGGGGTCACGGTCCACCATGTCAGGCCCCTGAAAGCAAAAATGAGGCAAACAAATCTGGTCCACCTCCCTCGGTATATCCGATGGCTCTTCCTCAGCATGCCAGGCTTATTTCATGTCTTGCGAATGAATCGACATCACAAGAGCTAGCAGCCGTTAGTCGCGCCTGGCCAAAGAAGCAGGTAGGACAAAAACATACAAGAACCCAAAAAACCTGGAAGACTCAAAGCCCAGAATCATCCAGGCACACGTGCACCCCAGAACGCCGCAGCCTTTCGAGCAATGCTGGAGGATTTCGCACCTTGCACAAGGTGCGCATAGGACGAGCACTCTACACGCCGGAAAAGGGCTTGTGCAAGCAGACCTCCTGCAATTTCGCAAGGCTAAATGTGTGTAACAACTGCCCCAACATACCGGGACACCCCACCGCGGGAGGGCGCTCCAGCGCGCACTCCGATTTGCATCCAGTGCGCACTCCAGAATCAGCATCGGTTTGGGGTTTTTGGGGATTTAAGGGTTTAGGGTTTTTAGGGTTTTCAGGGTTTAGGGTCTTTAGGGTTTAGGGTTTAAGGCTTTTTGGGGCTTAGGGCTTAGGGTTTAGGGCGTGTTTAGGGCTTTCTAGGGTTTAGGGCCTTTTCGACCTCACACTCGCACATGGCCGGCAAGGCATCGGTTGGTAGGCTCATGACTGCGGTGACACTATGGAGGTTCTTGTTGCTCCACTATCTCATCAGTTGCAGAGCCCGTTTCAACTTTACTAACCAACATGAGTTCAAAGTTTGAGGGCGATACTACCCTCCCATTGCTCAGCACTGCACGAGGTCAAGACCCCATTACGGACCATGTTTCTGATCTCTTTCCCTGCAGGCCACCAGCCGCCGGTGTCTCATCGCTACAGAGACCACAGCGACTCTGTTCTGGCCCTCCTTTCTGTAATCAATTCTGCACAGCCCAACGCATCCTGCAACCTCTGCGCCACTGCCCCCGCTCGCACTCCTGTCATCCATGCATCGTCACACATTCATGCCGAGGTCCTTCGCCACAATGAATTCATTGTTGCCAACTGCACAAATAGTCTGAATTCTGGCATTCCCAGATTCGTCAGTACTGCTTGCTTCCTGCCTTCTCAGCCATGTGGTGGGGGTTTAGGGCTTTTTAGGGTTTAGGGCTTTTTTAGGGCTTAGGGCTTTTTAGGGTTTAGGATTTAGTGTGTATTCCCATGGATTTCCTGTGTATTTGCATGGATTTGGTGGGTATTTCCAAGGATTTTGTATGTATTTGCATGGATTTGGATGCATTTGGAGAGCACACTCGACGCAAATCGGAGCGCACACTGGATGCCTCCCCCACCACCGCTACCGCAAAAGAAACACAGGGCATGCTACCAGTAGCACGTGCAGAAGATTGTTGGCAGAACTGGCCCTGACACTTCATGTTGAAGCATTGAGCGTGCCTGGTTTCCTGCCAGATATAGCCATCGCTGGTAGCCTCTAGCCAAAGGAATCTGGCGATATGGGTGTGCTATGCACTTGCATAATGCGCCCATTGCCGGTCATAGGAAGACGTGCACAGCCAAACTTCAAAAGGAAATTCTGCGCCGGCCCGACACAAAAACTAACCCCAAGACCAAGAGGCATCTGCTGCGCGCCGCCATCGCTGAAATGAGCCCGAAGACCGCCTCGTCGTCAAGGTCGTTGCATGCCAAGTCCAAATCCTGTTGGGGGTATTTCTTACAAGGTTCCTTGTGGCATACCATTTAAGAACCGAGAAGGCACAAGCATGAAGGGAGGCATAACGGAAAGCCGAGCTCGGGCCCCGCGGCCCGCTCATCCAATTCAGGGAACCATGAAGGGAGGGTGAGCCAGACCCCAGTCCACGGGAAATGGTCGAGATAGAGAAGGCCAAGGAATCATGCCAGTTGGCCATGCCTCGAGCATAAGGAAAGTTTCTGCAATTGAGATGAGCCGTTCGTCCAAGCCAAGACACTTGTCTGAAACCTAGCGCAAAAGCCATGTGAAACTCTGAAAGCTGTGAAATTATGAACGCATCAAGAATCAGCATTGTTCGCCAGGTGGTGTGGAAGAATGCCGGAATTTCGGCCCGACACAGACACACGACATTTGTACTTGTGGTTCTTTTTTTGGTCTGCCTTTAACACACCGTCCTTGTAAGAAAGCTCACAAATGAAATCGTAATGAGCAGAAGACTTCAGAGTTTTTCCGCACCCGGCTTCAGGCTGCTTTGGTGCAGGGGACCTGCATTTTTCTGCAGAGTCGGGCAGCAATGCCAACTGCGTGTGGAGTAACGAGAATCAAGACTCTACAAATCTAGCAGTGACACTTTGCAGAAAGGTAATGTTTTTCCTTGCGCAAGCCTTTTTCTACAAGCTTGCGTGGGTTCCTGGGTTGCACGGCAGAATATGCCAAGGCAGCGAAGGATGCTTTCATATGGCATGCGGTCACATGGAAGCAGGGATCTTTGTGTTGGATTTCGGTTTTGACGTCGATTTTTCCTTTGGTCCTAACAGTTGCATCCTTTGTCGCAGCACATCCAAGGTAAAACCCTGAAAAATCGATTGTCCAATCCGAACAGCCACTTGATGTGAGTTGATACGCCGGATGCTCTGCTTCCGGACTTCTTTGTGGGAAGCGCTTGCAGGGATTGCATTCACATTGGTTTGGGAACAAGGGCCCATGACGATGATGGGCCTGTTCCCACAGCGAGCTTCCACACGCAGCCGTGCCATGCCGTGGCTGAACAGTTTTCAACTTGGGCAGGTCTGGTTCGATTCGTTGCGCTTGGGGTCTGCACATAATTATGATTCATGGGGCGGGCATTCCATCCGATATGCCAGCATGTGGGGTCCCGCAGGCAGTCTGCATGATGCACGAAGTCCCGCAATCGCCCGGCAGACCTGAGTGAACAAGACTTTTGTGCCTTCTGCCCGGAGCTTGCCGCATCGATGCAAGGCTTTACAACCAACCCAGCAGCATTGCCCGATGGTTTCCATCTGGGCTTGGTCTCAAACCTTCAGCCTCCCTTGATCTCCCTTGGCACTCATCTGGATCATACCACACTGCACAAGCACCAGATTCATCCCGTCTCGATCGGATAGGCCAGGCAGCTTCTGTGTGAGGCTGTTGGAAGCCAGCCAAAGCCTTGGTCAATCACACCCATGCCCAACTGAGAACTTTAAACACGCACCCTTCCCAAACAGAGACAAGGTGCCGCGCCACACGCAGGTTTCCAAGGCACTCAAGCAAGTCTGCAGCATCCTCAGCAGGACATGTTCACTGCGGGCTTCTTCTGTCCTCCTGATATGGATTGGCGGCCCCAGCATATACACTGGCATGTCGACAGTGGGCTCCTTTCTGCTTCATTCACCATATATAAATAAGCGTCGGAATCTTGAAGCCGCGTCCCTCGGAAGTCAGCCCAGCAAACAAAGTCCGCGTCTGCGGCTTCGAGCGCTTGTTGCGCCAGGCCTGACGAGTTGCTGGCCGCAACCCTACCAGGATAATCCTAACAATACTAATAATGCTAATAATACTAATAATACTAACAATACTAACAATACTAATAATACTAATAATACTAATAATACTACTAGTACTAATAGTACTAACAATACTAATAATACTAATAATACTAATAATACTAATAATACTAATAATACTAATAGTACTAATAATACTAATAATACTAATAATACTAATAATACTAATAATGCTAATAATACTAATAATACTAATAATACTAATAGTAATAATGCTAATAATAATACAAATAATGATAATACTAATACTAACAATACGAATAATCAAAATAAAATAATAATCATAATAAACTACGGCAAAAGAAGCAGCTTTCAGTTCGTTCTCAGCCAGCCTCGCGGAGCCCGCAACCACGCCACAAGCTCCGGCAGCCTGTCCTGCTCCATGAGCCGACGTGACAACTTCATGCTGGTCATGAAGTTATATATGAAGTTATATGAAGTTCTATAAGGTTTCATGAAGTTATATGAAGTTATATGAAGCTATATGAAGCTCTATGGAGCTCTATGAAGCTCTATGAAGCTCTATGAAGTTCGTACACTCACAACATGCTCGCAGCGGCTCCGGAAGGTCCACACCTGCGAAGGTGAGTTCCAGGCCTCCAGCTGGTGGAATTTGCGGATGTTTTTGATACCACGATGCACGCTGCAGCAGCAGGGTGTCTTAGCCTTGTTCACTTATAGAAGCGTATTTTGATTGCCTTTCATCCGGGTTCTGAGTGCTCATGCTTTTTAGAAGCCAGGTATCGCAAGACATACTTTTGGACATGGACTTGGATGGAGCCTGAGCCACGCATCAGAGCCCGAAAGCAGTCTTTACCTCAGCCTGATGGCTGTGCAGGCCCCCCCTTACTGGATTTGAGCCCCTAAGGTTCCCCCTATTGGGTGGCGCTCGATCTTTATTGGGGGCCTCCCAAAAAAACCCTACCAAACATAACTTTCAATTCGCAACAACTTTTAAAAGCTTAGTCTCTCGGGTGGTTGTATGCACGCCGCTCAACAACCAGTCTGCTTCAGCACGTCGCGCAATGGCTGTAATCACGACACAGGAACCACACTGGTTGAAACGACCTCCTAACGAAAAGCAATGTGCAGAATCAGCTTGGAAAATTGTGGATGCCTCGAAGCATTTGTGCTGTTCTGCCACTCCCACAAAAGACTGGGTTCGGAGGTTTGTAGGCTTTTCAGCTCTGCGACTTTCACCGAGCAACGATTTTGCACAATGCATATCAAATAGTGGAGCTGAGTCAGTCAAGCCGCGTTTTGGTGCTGCGGGACTTTGCCGTGAGGCCTGGCCAAGACTCGGCTGCACATGCTGTGATGACGAATGATCGAGGCGTGACGACCAGCATCAGGACACTGCACGAGATTGCATAGCACGAGTAGCACGAGTCCAACTAGGCAGAGTGTCCACGACTTGGACACGTGAGGCCAGCCATTCGGGCAAGGAGCCCGAGCCTTGCAGGAGTCGAAAATCGAAACCCCCTACTTGCACCCCTTTGCACTCCCGAACAATTGAGAAAAGCAATAATAAGCAATATGACCTCTGGTCTGCATCGGCGGTGGGGCCCACGGTCATGACAATGTTCTCTTCTATTGCTCAGCGACGGCTTCAGCATGAGTTGGCTGTCAAATGCTTCGCGGGCTTGTGCATGAAGGTGTGGTTTGGTGAGGTTGCTAAGTTGCACTATGCAGAGAGGGGCTGGAGGCAGAATGGCCGCAGGGTGGCAAGAGCAAGAGATGTGCTGGCCCTCGAGCAGTTTGATTCACTACTAAACGACAGCTTTGAATTTTCGGGTCTGCGCAGGAAAACTGGAGGTGAAACTGCAGTTGATGCTGCTTTGCAGTGGGAGTGGCTCATATCCTCTCGTGCAGTTCGAGCTGGAGTATATAATTTGAAGACGTCCCTACTCGTTGCCATCCTGTGGACATGCATGGTCCAAATCTTGGACATCCATGCGCATTCGTGCTATCCTTGTCCCATAAACAACTTCGAGAACATCGTCCGTCATGTCTGTCGTAGAATCGCAAAACAAAAATTAAATCTGGACATGTTGCATGCTTAAAGCCTAGATATTGGGCAAAGAAGCCAACTGCATGGGTGGACATGAGCCGTGCACCTTGTAGCATAACGGCTGACACATGCAAGTCTTCCGCCACTTCGAGCTTTGCAATGGGTGGAGAGTTTTTGGGGTGGTACTCTATTCATTTTTTCCATATTTTTTCCCGAAAGCATAGCGGAGAATGTTTAGCGGAGGTGGTCTTCGGGAAGAGTCTTCGTTGTACTATGGATGTTGTGATGGATGATGCATGGAAGATCATGGAAGGATAGCGTGATGGATTCCATGGATTTCCTCCATAAATCAAGAGGTTTTAAAGCGCCGTGATGCTGGCGCGTGGGAGGCGTTCGCATTTTCGTCCGGGAACGACAACCACTTGGTTGGTCTGCGTGCCATGTCACGGTCTCCTTCCACTTCTTGCATGTCACTTCATGGTCTACAGCGACTTCTACACCAATCGCGGTTGCCGTCAACAAGGACCTTGTGCAGGCGAGGTTGCAAGTTTCCACAATTTGAAGTCAATATGGGTCTCGTGCATGGTGTTGCATGCCTCGTTGATCTGCCAGCAACTTCTAGGGACAAACAGTTGCAGCGACACGAAGCACGCTAGGCGAACATTTTTCAGCGGAGGTGGCTTTCGTGAAGCTTCTTCGTGGTCGTCGTTGACGCATGGATGGATGTCGTCGTGGATGTCGTGATTTATTTCTTAAATTAGTGAGGTCTTAGTCGCGGCCCTAAAATGCGTTCGGGACAACCGTTCTCTAGCCTTTGTTTTGGAAGGGGGGGGAGCGGCCTCCGTAGATTTTCGTTGGCTGACCTCTTTTATTTTCCTATGTTTTCATAGGACAATCTCTACTTCCCTCCTGAACTGGACACCTCTACATGCTTTGCATAGACACCTAGATGACCTAAGTTTAATGGAAAACTTCTACTATTTCTTCGATATGATGATCGAGACAACCTCTATTTCCCCGATGATTTGGCAGCCTTCATACTTCATTCACCATCTGAAAACCAATCAATGAAAGTACCCTTTGCAGGCTTGCATGGGGTTGTGCCAGCTTGGCTGCGGTGTTGAGCGCCGCTGCATTTCTGAGCCAGATCACCATCAGGCCTCGCTTTCATGGACACGGCTGCAAGTGACGAGCAGTACCAGACAGTCACATTGCAGCAGTACCGGCATCCTACAGCCCCGCTTCCAACTCGACTTCTGTGACTGTGACTCCATCGTGCACCCCCTTGCGCTTGGCAAAGGGCGCCCCATGGCATGAACTGCGCCATGTGCTCCTTCAAGTTCGGGCCTCTCAGCAATGCAGCCTCTTTGACAACCACGCTGCAAAGGCCCCTCCCTGCTCTTTCTCTGGCCCCTCTGGATACTTATCACTTGCTCACTAGCTTCACAGTCGAGGTCAAGAAGAGCCGTATGAGTGCTATATGTCTCACGTATTCTCAACCCTCAATGTTCATGAGTGACGATGCTGGGAGAAAGTTCATGTGCGTTCTGAGGGCTCGTCCATTGTCGGCATCGTCCCGAGCCATGGCTTGATGGGCCTACTTGAGCAGCTTGCGGCTTTCAGCTTACTTGCGGCTCGGACCCCACCTGGGTGCCCCAGGTGAGTGTGCGTCGGCTGGGCGAGATGCTGTCGTCCTTCACTTCAGGACAGCTTAAGCCAGCTTCGACTTCGAGCTGAGAACAAACCCCACGACTAACTCCGCATGCTAAGCAAACTTGGCCATGTATCCGCCGAGCCATCCTATCTCAGCATTGTCTTCGCGCACAGCGAGAGGGCCTGTGTAGCACTTCGCCGTAGTGGCGGACGCCGGCTGGGTGAGCTGCTGTGAGCCTTTCCCGAGCCAGATTGGCGACGCAAACCCTGGAGATCGGCTAGCAATAGAGATAATAGAGGTCGGGCTGGCATCCGTAGCTTCAGATTGGGCTGCAGGGCGCGTCGTAGAGCAAATCAGCCACTACCACGAGGAGCCTGTGACTCGGCCGTTGGCACCTGCTGCTTGGAGCTGTCGCCGACCTCGGGGTTACGACAGGACATCCAGGCGGCCTATCATGCAGGATCCAGAGAGTCTGCCGGCAGCACTAGGAGATCCCCATTTCTCCAAGGTCCAGGCAACACGAAACAGTTATTCGTGTAGCAAGTATAACCATGGAAGCATGGGGGTTAGGCACTCTCGTTAACGTGGACATCCCCTCTCTAACGGTGCAATGCCCGAAGACTTTGGCACGTGCTTTGCATGCGCTTGTATACAGACGCTTAATGGATGCCTTGTTTCTGAATGGGAGTCGGGGACGGGTTCATTCCCTGGAGCAACGTGTGGACGCTTCTGCTATGCATTGCGAACACCGAAGCCCAGGGTGCAAACTGTAGCCCTGAAGCAAGCACCGCTCAGAGCGCCTGCGTGGCGCTCCGCCGCAAAGCAGGGCGCCGGGTTGGCGAAGGGCTCTGTGCCTTCCAGACTGTGAGAATGAAACGTGTTGCTTTTGCCAAGGCTTCCATTCCGAGCTGTGGGACTCGTGACCGTAGGTTGCTGTCACGGCGGCGACGACATACGCTGGCATGCTTGCATATGCTTGCCGTCATCTGCACTTTCAAGGGGCCCGGGGACAGGCTTCCCAGCTTCAGGGCCGAACGTCCGCTCTCAACCATCGCTTTTGGCTTTTGATCCCAAGATGCAGGCAATGGGTAGAAGCGGACGACAATGACTGCAAGGCCTCACTTGGCCAAGGAGGAAAGCTCCAGTCCTCAGCATGAGAGGTGAGATGGCCATGCTACTAGATGTTTTCCTATTTCTTCCACCTGCCTAGCAGCTACACACGTTCGCGCCAAACAGGGGAGGGAGAGGGAGAGGAACGTGATTAATTTATCGGGTGGAGAAAGGGAGGGTTGGCCTAGGAACTCCCATTCGGACCCTGTTTGGCGGGTCCGATTGCGTGGTTCCCAAGGGTTCCCGTGAATTTGGCCCGACCCTTCCGGACCTTCCCTTTCGGACCCTTTTCCCGGAAACACGAAAAGGAAACCCGGCGTCGTTGGGCGTCGCCCGCGCCTCTGGGGCAAGGTCCGAAAGGGTCGGGCCACCCTTCCGGACCCTGTTCCCAAGGACACCGAGGGTCACACTTGCGAACCTCTGGATAACTCGAGGGTCTATTAATTAACCAGCCTCCAGACCGTGGTTCAAACCCTCCAGCGGTTTGTTCACGCTCGCCGTGGACATGTCGTTGATAACGGTACTTCCAGTGTTTCCATTTGGGTGACATATACCGAAACACCGTTGTGTGCAGTGATTCCGGCACCTGCTGTTTCACACAAGATTTGTGGCGTCGGTTTTACAGCGGCATGTACAGTGTTTCGTGTGGATTCGTGTGGGTCTTATGCCAAAAAGACTGCCACTGCGTGCGAATTGCCAGAGCATCTAAGCCCGCACGATGATGGCCAGATCATCCAGGCCGGCGTGGTGCGGACGTCCATGTTACCAGTGCATGCGAATGGCCAAAACGTCCATGCACGCTGCAAAAGAAAGATACGTTCGTGTGGTTGGTGGGGACAGCCAGTGTGAGAGTCAGATTGCCATTGGCAACTACCCAGGGCCTAGGCTGAATGCCTTCAGCAGAATGGACGTGCATGGACCAACCGCTGCCGCAGGTTCGAAACTGCAAGAGAAGGCAGACATATGCTGTGCACATACAGTGACTGCAAGTAGAAGGAGTGGAGTAGGTGCGCAGTGCACGAACTTCTTACTCCGCCAACCAGGTACAGGCTGCTTTGCTGTGACCACCATCCATGTATGGATATAGGCTCCATCACACTGGTTTGTTGCATGGGCGGGGAGGGGAGGGCTGGAGAGGGGGAGTCCAGGCGAGGTGTGCAATTACGTCCATTCGTTGTGCGAACATGTCAAACTTGTTGGTATTTGCTGCTTTGTCTGGGCCTTTCATACGAATGCCAAATGTAGCCATGCTCAACAAATGACCATCCCGATCGCGTACGGATGCCATGCTAAACCCAGGATAATGCCAATCCTGGCCGAGTATGCTTCACGCCTGCATCCATACACAACCTGCAGTGATGTCCATTCCATTCCCCACCCCTTTCGTTCTTGCTTGCATCAATACCTTATATGAGGTAGCTGCCAGACTTTCAAGAAGGCTACTACAATCACACAACCGACTTCTCCAATTTGGCCCTTTACCATGTCTAGGTGCGGCAAACGAGGGCCTGGAACACCAGGCTTGTAAGTGACCGTGAACTCGCCTGTAGAAGGCGCCCCCAACCCCAATGACCTAAGGCCCTTGCAGGTTCCTGGCTGGCGGAAGCTGCTGGGGGCCACTCCAGTGCCTCACAGAAGCTCTCGCAAGTATGCGGCTGCTGGTGGGAACTGCTTTTAGGGGCTTTTCTTGAAACCGAAACGATGCTGCCATTAATCTGCACCTGTGCCTTTGGTGCACCCTTGCAGCTGTTGTCTTTCTTTCCAAAGGCAAACGGTGCA